ATCACTGTGAAAGTGGCCAAGTCTCTGTCTCCTCCTCTGTGTTTCTTTTTCTGGCCCTGTCTCTGGCCAGTGTCCAAACCAGTCCTTCCCTGCTCCAGCCTCACCGCAGAGTGTCACTCCACATGAAGTCACACTCACAGGGATAGGGTATAAATAAGCAGACACTGTTTGGGCAGCATGATGGCTCACCGTCTCCTCACAGCAAGACTATCCAGAGATTGTGTGTTGCGTGTGTGTCCTCCCACCCTAAAAGACGCGCATGTTGTGTATTAGGAATGCTCCTGCCAAGATGCTGGCCCTGGAACAGGAGCTGGTCCCCTGGTGATGAGCAAGTAAATAATTAGTATGGGAAATGTTAGCTTATTTCCACTTTTTCTATGCTTCAGGTAAGCAGACCACAGTGAAAAGCAGCCCTGCCTTATAAACCACAGCCACTTGACCATGGCTTTATTTTTTAATGGGACATTTGATTCATATTTAAAGCTTGCAAAGTAGGTTTAAAATAAAGGTTAAAAAGTTTTATCTTACCTTTTAAAAAAAAGACTAGGTTAGATCAAGTTTCCAAAATATGTATCACTTGCAGCATAAACACAGCTTTGGACAGTGCCCAAAAATGTACTGTATGAAGATCACTTGTAAAGTCGATGACTGAAATTGGGGGGGTCAAGTAAAATATAAAGGATAACAAAGGTGAACAAACTAAAGTTATGTTTCCATCCAGTGCTTTTAGAAGTTGAATCATTTTTCATTGCAAATATGTAAAGTTGAATGCTATTGTAGCTAGAAAATCTGCAATCTTTAAGATGAAATATATGGCAAGAGTACTTCCTTCCTGTCTTGGCTGGTATGTTGTTACCCTTCTAGGTGCATAACTGCCACCTGTTTATAGGTGAGAAGGGTAACAGGAGGCAGTAGTGTAGTGGAATGTGTTTTTCACATTTTCACCCATGTGCACATACAAACTAGACCATCCCTTTTTATGTGCAGATCACAAAAGGTCAAACACAGTAAGATAGGAGAGAATACAACGTGACCAACAGGACAAGACATGGTCTATCTTCTCTATGCTTTTTCAGTGTTACCCGCAATTTCCACATAGTCTACACGCTGCGTTCCGTCATTGCCACGGTTTTGCTCCATCTGACGGCGCACACCCTGCCCCACTGGGCCTGTTTCTGGAGATTGAGAGCATCCATGAACGTTGCATTAAAGAAAAAAAATCGTGCAAACAACATGTAGCTTTCTCTTTCTGAGGATGAGTTGCTGTTCTTTCTGTGTCCGTTTTGATGCCATGTTGATAAAGTGATGGAAAGTGGGTGTCTCATGATACAATACTTTTGCAACCATCTGAGTGTAAACCTGAGTGATAAACACAGGCTCCTGGGTTGTGTTGACTAACAAAGATCAAAACACAGACACAAGATCGCTATGTTGTTGCTTTCTCCTGTCATATCTGCTTAAATCATCTCATTTTGTGACTTTATTAAAACACAACAAACTAAAGAGCAAATTTATACTTTCAATTATATTTTCATCAGCCTTGTTATATGATTCAAAAGACATCAATTTAACCATAGGCCCTAATTTATTCAACTCTATTTAAATCATTTAATTTAGTGAGCTCCCTCTCTAATATAAATGTGTTTGATCATTCAATCCAACACTAATGATCTCTGCTGAAACGCTTCCCTACCCTCAGTGTGTGAACGGCAGCAGGTCTTTACAGATGTATAGCCGAGCTGCAGCCGTCCATGACACATCCGTTTGGAGTGACAGGCTGCCAGTCTGATTTAAGCTAATAAAATATAACCTCCACTTCGCCTCTGGAGCTGACATATTGCATTTATGCCGATGCAGGAGGAGCACCAATTTATTTCTTCACAAGGGGTCACTTGTATTTTTAATAATTCATCCAGCATATGTTGAGATGTCAGTTGCTGAGCTTTGATCAAAAGCTGGCCTGTCTCTTGCGGAGCCATCAATTTCCAATGAAAGTATTTGGACTGCAGCACACACCTGCCTGCAATGTGGCACAGAGATCTTCCTCATATTCTTGAGAACAACCCTCATGAGACAGTTCACTCCTTTTTTAATAATATTCCTCTTGTGCTGTTATCACATTCCCATCATTGTGGTGATTTGCCAGTAAAATATTTGAGCAGTGCAGAGAGCAGAGAGCAGAGCTTCGTGCGGAGAACATGACAGCAGATGTTGAGTTTTCTGAAATTTTGCCTTCTGCTGCCCTCTTGGGACGTCCGTATACCTCCGGCCCCTTTCTCTTGGTCTTGTTCTTTCTTCTCACTGCCTGCCAATGAGCCTTATCAAGAAAAGTTTTTTTGTCTGCTTTGGGTCATATAAGGTCCATCACTCTACTTGACAAGCTTTCTGGACTTTCTTAAAAGTTTTCCTGTTTTTGTGTTATGTATATATATACACACACACACACATATATAGATTAAATAGTTGATTGCGATTAATTAAGGTCTTAAATGAATGCATCATTTTTTTTATGTCTTAGGCACACCACAGATTAGTGTTGTAGATCTGTCTGGATTGGACTACATTTCAGTTCCTGTTTGTGCCCTGTTTGTCTGTCTTTTGTCTATAATGGCCACTGTACTCAACAGATAGCGATCCTCTTCAGTCTGTGCTGCTGAGTTTGAAATGATATATTTATGATGGCTGTCATAGACCAGGACTAAGTTGCGCTTGCTGTGTGACTCAGTCTTCTGTTCTGCTAACATCTTGCAACAAGTTTTAAATCCTTATCTAAAGGTGCCCTGCAAAGTTTGTCTTGCACAAAGTTTGTCTTGCATCCAGTGTTTCTCAGTTAAACTATGTTTATCCTTCAGTTCTATCAAATTTGTGGAATGTCCCATCACTCCTCCTACCCAGGTTTCAAACGTTTCTGTACAGCTCAGTTTGTTTTTCTTTTTTTTTTCTTTATTTGTGTATTTGCAGCCTCTCCAGATTCAACTGAACTTCTGTTACTGTTTGTGCTTTCAACAGAGGGAGTTGCAGAAAACACTGAGGCAGCAACAACAACAACCACTCTCTTCTAAAGTAGCTCAATCAAATAACCAATAAATACTATATGGTAAATTCATACTGGTAAACTCAGTATAGGAGATGATGACGCGACTGTCTTTCTGATATATCAAACACACAAACACCCATATTATACTTTTTTGTATCTTTTTATAGGGAGTTATGATATTGCTCTCTGACACCTTGTAGATGAAGAGCCAGCTTAGTATTCACACAACATAATTAGAATGTAAGTGGACAAAGATATTTCCCACAAGGTAGTAAAGGGTAGTTGGATAATAAAGTTATGTTTCTATGGCAACGGCTGGCACAGATACAATATAAAAGAAGAGTGAAGAGCTGAGGAGGGGAAAGACAAATTTATGAGACTTTGAGTGCGCCAGTCTTCACTCTTTAAAAATCTTGTCTCGTCTTGTACAACTGCATACTGAGTAATCTCAGACTTAGAGCTTCACTGAGCACACATGTTCTCTGTCCATCTATCCACCTGCCTTTCTGTATACCTACCTGTTCACCTGTCTTTCTGTTTTTTTTTCCAGTTTGCTTCGTAGTTAATCATTTGATTTCATGACAAAAAAAGGGAAAATATCACTAAATGATGCTTGGATTTGGCCATACAGTTTTAAGATATGAAACTGAAGATAATGACATTCTGCAACATTGAGTGTTGTGAACCAAAAATTGTTCTGGCTATTATTTCCATAAATTTTACAGGCACACTGCAGGTACTTTATCTTACCACAAAGGCAATTGTTTTATGAGGGCACCTTGAAGGTGGTATAGTAAATATATTATGTATACTTACTTAAGAAGTACAGCAGGGTTAAATTCCTGGTTTTTAAAATAAATGTTGATAGATTTGAAAGAAGTCATTTCAGTAATTTTTCTGTGCAGTCTTTTGGACTGATGGGGTCATCTACCGGTACTTAAATGTTTTGTATGTTTTTTGTTTTTTTGTTTTTTTTTACTGATTTGGGCACCAGCAAATGATGCTTGACCTCATATATTTTAATTTACTAAAGTTGCAGGGACTTATTTTGGTACCTGCGACCAACAGTCCAAAACGCAAAGATAATCCATTCACAATGATGGTAGCCAAAATGTATATTGGAGAGGGTGGAAGTGACACAAAACAACAATATGATTCTATATAGTAGTTTCTGCTAACTTTTCTGTCCACGGTATTGTGGATTTAACTTTTGAAGCTCTAGTGCATTCACAGGGAAGCACAGGGAGCAATTTGGGGTTCTTGCCCAAGGACACTTCAAAATGACCCAGCAACTGGGGATTGAACCTTTCCTGCCTTCCGGCAAGAAATATGCATCACCAGAAAGCTTTTGTCTGGTTATGTGAGAACTGTTTTTTTTCCAGTTAGATAGCAGGTTGTATCAGTTTTTTTATTCTAATAATATTATTCTCTTTCAATTGCATAAAGTAGGTAAAGGTTAAAACATCAATTATCCAAGTAGTTTATTTTTAATATTGACACAGGATTTTGGCCCAGAATTTGGTAATTGGTGTACCACATTGCATACCTCACTTCTTATGAGGGATTATTAAATATACCACCTCTGCTCTTTTTCAACATAAAAAGTATGCTCACTAATTGCTGTATATGTACGACTTACGTTTGTTTGCTTCATCAGAGCAACATTGTCTATAGTTAGACCCAGTACTTGCCACATTATGATACAGACTTACGGCAGAGAAATGGAGTCATGCACTCATGTTACTTAGCAGCAGAAAGCGGGCCAGTAGGTCATATCTGACTCATGTCATGAAGTGCTAAAACACTTTGTTTGATCATGAAGCCTGATGGTTCCTATTCATTTCAGTGGATTATCAGTAAAGTATAAGAACTGCATCTAATAATGCAGTCTCTTTTTAAATATGAGGAAACAGACAAAAGATCAGGGTCATTAACACACATATCCTGTTGATGACTTTTTCAGAAACTCAAGGATCACATCTCCAGATCGGGTCATTCACAGCACGAGGAGATGAAGTGGCCTTCTTACTGGGGGTTTCGACTTCAAAACTGTCACTGCAGAAGATAATGAACATCAAAAAAGCTGTTACAAGGTAAGGAAAGCCATTCAATGTCTTTAATTCTCAGGCATTAATGGAAAACATACACTTATACTCACTATAAAACTGTTTAAATTAAGGATGATGATAATAGGCTAAGTTAGTCACTACTGCTAGCAACACTCTCCCCCTTCTCCTCAGGGTCAATGCGCACGCCGATTGCCATGTCGCAGACACTGAAGCTTCAGTGTTTAACCAGCTCTGCGTTGGTCTTGAAACCTTTCTTGGTTCCAAGCTCTCTCCATTTTTCAAAAGCATCTCCAATATTTGAGGAGCTTATTAGAAAAAAGGCGAGGCTTTTCAGGACGGGTGCAGTTATCTCATATCTGGCAAACTGAGGGGCGTCCAAAATGGTCACGTTTTTTTTTTCTCTGGTGGAAAAAAAAAAGCCACACTATTCCAGACTAAAATAAAAACCTAGGACATAGTGGCTGCTGCATTGATGTCAGAGAAGCCAACACTTCAACTTAAAATGTTTCCTTAATGTCTGATGATAAAGTAAGGTGATTTTATGATTTAATTCAGTAGATATCTTGCTCCTTTAAAGGCCTATACCTCAGGTGATTTAAAATTCAGCTGGTATGGAGGTAGGTGGTATGCTCAGGTACCTGGTCTTGTTGCTTTGCCACCACTGCAGGGGTTTTGGTTGAGTGGGTTGCAAGTCTCTTTAAAGTACTAATCCAACTTATGATCATCCTCTGTGCTGACTGTAATCCTCTCTGAACATTGTGTCAAGTGCTGAGGCAATTGTGATTTAAAGGATGTCTGGGATGTTTCACTGTATGGGGCAGGACATCATGGTCACCAGTAGATCTGGGCTGTTCTGGGAGGCTATTGTGAAATTCAGTCAGTCGCTCTCAGACAGCCACACAAACAGCCGGCTTCAGGAAACAGAGGTGCCTGCTGCGTAACGGGCAGGGTCTAAAATTAACTTTTGGTCCATCTGCCAATCGCTGGTTATTCCCAAAAAATTGCACTGGCCAAAATATATTTCAACCCCCAAGACATAGATATAAAGAAGCTGTAGAAAGAACCTAAACCTAGTATAACCTAAACCTAAACCTAGTATACTGAATTTTTAGTGGCAATGTAATTTTGAGGGTATTCTACTAACTCATGTTTTGCTTTGTAACTAGCAAGAGTATTATAAAGGAACATAATAATCATTTTTATGATGTAAAGTATGAATTTAAGCACCAGCAGTTTATAATAAAAATACCCTAAAAGATAAACAAACTAAGCTATCCGTGGCTAAACTAGTGGGCTAATGCTATCATGCTAACTTTTGATTGTTCTTCTGTAAACAGATATGCCGGTAGATTTTTTTTTTTTAATCGTCCCAAATTTTCTTTGCAATGCTTAAGTGAATAGATTTTTCTCCCAGCTGTACTAGTGATGGTAGCTGTGTGTCATCTAAATACCTAGCATTTTATTAGAGTACATAATGGGTGTAAAAAACAAAACAAATAAATACCGTGGTTAATCCTGCTGTCAGGGGACACACCCTTTCTCAGGGAATTTGCTGTTGTAGTTTTAAATTCAGTCACCTTGGCTGACTCTCCATCTTGTGGCTTTAGATGCCTGGTCAAGGGGCTTGTGGTGACAGGTTGCATCATGGAGGTGCAGTCATGAGATTCATGGCTGTTGTTGCACACTTCAAAGAGGGAAGTGCAGGCAAAATATCCTCAATTGTCTGCCAGTAGTCATCAGTCAATTTGAGGGTTGTGGCATCGGTGATCTTGGTGGTGTACCTTTCAGAAGGGTTAGCTGACAGAGCCAATATTTGTTCCAGAAGCCTCTAAAACATTTCGTAAATGGTGCGGCAGTACTGGATCAGTCTGTGGTTTGGCAGGTTCTGCTCTGCCTGCTTTCCATTCAGGGCAGCTGTTGTAACTGTGCTGTGTTGGAAAAGAGCTACAAACCTGCTACGTGGGGCAACAGGACAGGTCGATTCACACTTTCTACCTTGAAGCCATCGTTTATTGTAGCTGCTGTTTGCCGTGATAGTAGCTTGATTTCCGGCTCAACAAATTCCATTGGCTTGCGGAAGCCTCCTCCTCCCAGAAAACCTGGTTGGTTCACATCTCCAGCCACCTTTTTTTCTTGTTTAGCATGCTAAACAAAAACGTACCTGCTGCAAGCAAACCTGGCTCTTACAGGAAATGAGAGTTAACAATAGGACTGACATGATACATGTAATATCAACCTATGAATACTCAGGGTACCTAATTTGATCCTCAAGTTAAAAGGTGGTCAACTGGTCAGATGTTGATTCATGTTTACAATTTATTGATAGTTTGAGAAAAAAGCTGTTGATCACATTGAGTGAGGAGGGGAGCAACATGCGACTAGCACCAATTGTCCTTCCCTAGTGCAAATTATGAGTTAAACAGGCTTACATCTCCACAATTACAGTAAATACTACTTGATGAGCAGTTTAACAATGTTGGACTGGTTCAAACGTGTTGGTAATGTAATTTGTTGTGATCCACTATCTGTCGACATGCATTATCAGATGCTAATTTATACTGAGTGTTTTTTAAAGTGACACAGTGTGACTCACACTGTACCAAATAAACCTACTGAGATGTAACAGTATGCTACCATTGTTTGCAGTATTGGGCAACAAATATTTTGTGGGATTTTTGACAATTTTGTGTACAGTGCACTGACACAGATTACACAGTGTTGATGTTTTGTCATATGAAATTCATTCAAACTGTGTTGTTGGTACCCTCTTTCCTTTATTTGACTCATTCTGCTTTAAGCTGCTTCAAAGTTCAGCAGCTCCCTTTTGGTTATTAAGAGGTTGTCTTGTTACAGTGTCATCTAAAATCTGTTACCTTTGGCTCATATATCATCATATCAAACAAACAAGTATAGATTTCCTTTGTGTTTCTTTTTTTATTACATTGTTGTGCTGCCGACACATCGCGTCAACACTTTATTACATTTTATTACTGAGATAATGAAAAATGAGAATACAAAATAAAACTAGTCTGCATTTTAAGTGCTCCATGATAAAAGAGCTTTTTACTTTAGGTGAAAACCACACATTACAGTCAATACTTGATTATGACAAATCTAAAAACAATAAAAAAAAACGTTATTTTAGAAGGCTGGTTTGTGCTCAGACAGCAGGTCAGACAATATCATGCATCTGTGCAGAAGTAGTGCACCCTTCTTACCAAATGGAGGCTGAAGATGAATAAAAAGCTGAGGATAATGAGCACGAATTAAAAACATGGGACAATTACACTGCTTGATTAGACCAAAAAAACTTGATTACAGTGAAGTAGGCTGTAAAGCTGCAAAATGTTTGTTATTACAATGTTAAATGCTGAACACACCTTGTTGATGTTGACCAAATGCTGCATGGCTGACTTTCCAGATCTGGCCTTTTGCAGGTCTGATTTGTGTTTCTTTTGTGTTCTATGTCAAAGAAAGATAAAGGAGCTCTTTCCGATCTGACTTGATCAGACTGTATAATAAATTTGCACATGCCAAACCCACATGGACACTGACCTGGAGTAGTGTATCCTCTGCACCTACCACTCTGCTTTTTGTAGTTGCATTTTTGCAATTTGTTGTTGTATACTTTAATATATCCTAGTCCTGACTACTGTTTATTATTGACTATACATTACCTATGTGTTACCTTTTGTGTAAATATTATTAGATACTATGTATGAACTCACTTTAATTTTGTATTTTTTGAATGTTGTTAAAGCTGCTATTACAAAACAATCTCTCTCTCTCTTTGTCCCTCTCTCAATCTCTTTCTCTCAATCTCTCTTTCTCTTTGTCCCTCTCTCAATCTCTCTCTCTCTCTCTCAATCTCTCTATCTCATTCACATAAAAAAGTAACCATTCTTTTTATAGTATAACTTCACGATGCAATGTTCCTCCACTGCTCTTTCTGTTTTGATGACCACAAAGATTTGAGAATTATATTTATGGGATTGTGTGTGAAAACAGCTTCCCTGTCTATTTTCACTGATTTTCAAGTATACATCAGGCTGCAAGTAACTTCATCTGTTGATCAGTTTCTTAATTGATGAAATACTTGTTTGGACTATGCATTATCAGAACAAGATGGAACATAGTGTGTATTTTTATCGTTCACAACCCAGAGAGAATACGTTCACTGTCATAGAGGAGTGAAGAAAGCAAAAATATATACAGTATAATAATAACCAGCAATATATTAATAGTTTATAGCTTATCGATTTGCGGTGCAGCTCTGTGTCCATACTGCAGTACATGTTTACGTGTATAAGTAAACATCTGATTTGATTGTGATGACCTGGCAATGTTCTTTTTTTGGTCCTTAATTATTCTACTGCCAATTTCGTTTTAAATGGGTGAAATTTAATGCTAATTAGTCTGCAGCTACTCTATGATAATTACTCATGATAAAAAACCCATCATGTCATTATCATCTCTTTAGTTTTTATGATTCATGAAAATGTCTTTGCAGGTTTTACCAAATTAACTTTTTTTCCCCCCACATCTTATTTAATGTGCTGTATGCAGCTTTCGAAAATGTTTACCAGCGACATGTAATCTTAGTTAACCAGGAAACACTTAATATTAATGGAGAATTCTACATTGCATATCAACTTGTACCACCCATTATTTTCATGGACCATATAAGACCCTCTGTCAATTTGATTAATTAGCAGTCCAACCCACTTATCACAGTGGAGCTTAATTAAACACCCCATTTGCATTAGCGCTCACTGGACCTTTGATTAATACAAGCTTTTGTGGATAATTTAGCTGATATGTAGCACGAAAAGGAGAAATTACATTTGTACTGTGAAACATTAATCTGAAATTTCTGAATGATCTTTGAGCTGAGTCTGCAGGATTTTGTAGCACAGAGTGATCATTATGAGTCTAATGGATAAATGTAGTTTGCTCTGATCAGTCAGGGCTTGACTTTAATCAAGTGGTGCAAATGACAAAAAAAAAAAAAAAATCTCAAGCTT